CTCGAATTCCTCGTCTTCGTCGGGCAGCTGAGGCAGTCTACACTGCAGTTCCAGGCTATCGGCGAAAGCCTCGGCCTTTTCCTGGTTCGTGTAAACCACCCCCACACTACCGTGGATTGGAGGAATTTTACGGCGAGCGGTCTGTCGCAGGGCCCTCTGCGTTTTCCAGAGGCTGTTGTCTTGTGGATCCAGCGACTCCAGGTGCCTAGCCCAGTTATCCTGGGCCAGTTCATCCAGAGCCGCCTTCACCCGTCTGTTAAGTACGTTTAAGTCATGTCTGTGTCGGGGGAGGCGGGTGCGGGTGGCAAGCCGTTTCGCACGTCGTCTGTCACGTATTAAATTTTTTATGTCTTCGGGGAGGGTGCTCCGGGGGTTTGTCAGTCGGGGGACAGTGGTCTCCGTCGTAGTCTGAGTCAGGGCGTTTTTAATGTCAGTCTCAAGGGAGAGGATTGCCGCCTCCAGATCATGGGTGGTTTCGATGACTGGGAGCGAATAACGGAACGTATTATTTTACTTTCTCGTTGAGGAGAGTTGGTACTATAAAACGTGAACGTACTACATTCCCCTGGGCCCAGACCTCTGCCTCTGAGGCACAGACCACAGAGAATGTGAACAGTCAGAATGATTCAGCAGTTGAAAATACAAATGTAGCTATAGATATATGATGAGGGAAGAAGATAATGTTGATTTCTAGTTTTTAATAAATATTTTGAGATATATAGGTAGTGTGCTAGATTTTCGTTTTCCTATTATTCCTCCAATCCACGGTAGTGTGGGGGTGGTTTACACGAACCAGGAAAAGGCCGAGGCTTTCGCCGATAGCCTGGAACTGCAGTGTAGACTGCNTTTTTAAGTAACACAAAAATTCATAAATGATTTCTACCACTAATTTGTCATATATTTAAAATTTAACTATACAGGCAGGTTCTTTTATATAAAATCTTTGTATCAACAACAATTTGTATATGGTTTGTTTTTATAGTCAACAACCCTATCTAATTTAATATTTAATGTCAATAAATAAATTTATGGTGTCACTGGTGCCGAATAACGGAACGCCCTTACGCGCCATTATTCCATGGCTAGAAATTGGCCTCAATGATTTGGGATCGAGGGGGATTATCCCTCTTTATCCTGCCTCATCTCGTTTAAGCTTGGACAACCTTCGTAGGTGGGCCCCATCCGTCGTCTACCCCGACCGCAAATGCGCCCGGTGTAGGCGCTTTGTGGGACCTCATTTTGTCCTGGCTGGGCCCCGCCGGCTAGGGCCCTTTCTTCTGGCGCTCTTCTTGCTTCGCCGGCTCGTCTGTGTAAACCCCGGGGGTAGTGTCATGTTTATGTGTGGTATGGTTGGGTAGGGTAGTGCGGCTATGCAGCCTGGGATGCGCTTTGCTAAGGTGGCCCTTAGGCTAGCGCGGGAGGGGAGGG